AAATAAATAAAATAACAGTCTTGCTCCACCCAACCGCTTCACTTTGTATCACTTTGTATTTCCCTAACCTGCTTTATTTTTCTTCATAGCCCTTACTTCTAGCCTGTACCTTTATTATTTACTATAAATAAATATTATATTTACTTACTTATTTTTCTGTCTCTCCCACTAGAATGTAAACTCCATAAAAACAGGGACTTTTTCTCCCCAAGCTGCTGCATCTCCAGAACTTAAATCGGTACTTAGCACATAGCAGGTACTTTAAAAAATTATTGAACACATGAATGGATGGATGCACTCAACTCAAGAAGTCTTTTCCTGTTTTCCCACCCAGCAATGATCCGTCTACCTCTGGGCCTCCACCTACAGTCTGCCTTTCCCTCACTCAGTTCCTGGCACCAAGTGGTCTCTTTGGATCTGCATCACCCACCTACGTCACGATGCCCAGCACAGTTCATTACACAAAGGAAAGATTAGAGGAACATTTGCTATATTTGCTACTGTGAAGTATTTAGCTTTTGTCTAGCACTCCTCAAAAGTGTTCTTACGATTCCAACATTTTTCAAGAACCCCTGAAGTGACTTCAATAGAGACGACTCACGTTCACAGTGAGGGAGTGGCTGTGTCCACTGTCCTTGATTCAGACAGTACTGCACAGGGTTCCCGACCATCTGGAAACCTGGATCACAGAACAGACTGACTTTGGAGCCTGGCTTTAAATCTACTGATGCAGTTCGCAAATGAGGTACGGATCCGTCCAAAGGTGGGCAATCTGCGGGCAAAGAACGCAGGTGCAGAACTTGTCAGCAGCATCACCAAGCCAAGAGTCTCAGATTGTTATTTGTCCTGGTATTTAAGAGCTCCTCTATTGACAGATCACTGCCAAGCAAAATTATTAGAAAACACTCGTAGTCAACAACAACTCTTCCTCTTTCAACAGAAGTCTGCTGAATATTTTTTGAAATGATATTTTAGGAATATGAATAAAATGTTCTTATAAACTATCAAAAGCCACAAATTTGAGGACATTTTAAGAAGCTTGTTTAAATATGTTTAATTTTATGATTATTCAGAGTTTGGCAATTCAGTGTGTGGATTGCAACATCCATTGCCTTTCTCCCTGTGCTACCTGATTCTAGATGGCTTCAAGGAAGTATAGAACCAAAAGTACCCCATCTCAAACAGGAGCATATGATGTTGGTGGGCATTTTAAGAAATAACCTTATCCCTCCTCTCACCCATCTTCCTAATCATATTTTACCTTTGTCCAAATTTCCTCCACAATAATATTCTGTTATACAGAATGTATTTTAGCATTAAACAATAACAAATCCTTTGGGTGAAGGTAGGGCAAATATGAATTAATAGTTAAAGAGTAGATTGACCGGCACACATGATTTGACCAACAGAGAATTTTGAATTGTCTCCTTTTGCCAGAAGGACCCAGGGTAGTCAAGAGATGGTGGGGTCTACGGAAAATGGAAATTCTCACCAGAACAGAATATGCTCTTGGAATCGATCTTCACTTTCCCCACAATTCCTGTCAAGAAATCAGGCCAGGCTAACACATTTCCTCTACTGAGTTCCTCTGGGCAGGAGGTAGCCAATGATTTCACCTGAAAGTTTAAAAACATGTGTTTAGATAAGACTTACTTGTTCCACTAACTAAGGTGGAGTTATTATATGTTAATTTAGTCCTACTGAAAACATTCACAGATTTTTTGGTGGGGGGCGGGTGGGTAGAAGCAGGCTTTTGCCCGGTATGTCTTTGGGGGCAATAGGAACATTCTCTTCCCTCTACTTCTCTCCCACATCTGTCATTCTCTCTCCCAAATATTTGTCCCATGAGACTCATTGTTGCCTAAAATTTTGAAATCCTACACATAGAATTTCTTGTCTAAAGCTTTGCAGTTTGTTAGGGGTTGTGGAGGCTCCCTTCTCCATTCTATGTCTTCGACCCCTGGCATAGCATCGAGGAAACTGAGGCTTAGAGAAGTCCTGCTATTATAGTAACGAGAGTGAACATTTATCAAGCCCTTACTATGGAACAAACAATACCATGAATATATATGTAGTATTTTGTTCAATCCTGTCAAAACTCTGCTGGTTTATAGATAAGAACATTGAAACTTATAGAGATGGAGTGACATATTAAAAATCATCACAGCAAGTTTATGGTAAAACCGGGATTTGAACCCCAGCTGTTTGCCTCTGGCTTGGCTTTAACCACTAGCTCATCTGGTGCTCTCTATGGATGATTTTGTGCCAGTTTTAAGTTTCTTTATGATTTTTTCTAT